GTTCAAGACATAGCTTATTGATGTGATTAGGAACAAGATGACTTCACTGAGTCTGTTTTCTTCATATTCACAAATTTTTACTGAACAACTGCTGTATGCCAGGAACTAATTTTCGAAGTTAAGGGTTTATTAGTGAACACAAGCTTGTCTCCTTGTAGCTTGGATTCTATTTGGGGAAGAGTAGAAGATTTTGAATTTTATTTCAGTCCCAATTAAGTGGAATAATGTAGATGACTTATTTACGTTGAAATAAATAGTGTTAGGGTACAGTTATTCTCAACAGTTAACAATTTACATTTAAGCAGCCATAGCTAGTATTTACAGTGAGAAAGGAGAGGGGAAAATAGTAGTGACTCATCTATGTGTGCTTTCCTTTCCCTTCTAGCAACCACCAAAAAAGACAGCTAAAAAAGAAAAAGCAAAACAAAAAGCTGCTGCTAAAAGTAATAAGTCTGTAAAAAGTGCTAATGTTAAGAAGGCAGATAGCAGCACTACCAAGAAGAATCAAAACAGTTCCAAAAAAGGTACGTTAGAAATGACGACAGCAACTCTGGGGACACCATATGCATGTACATGTTTAAGTGTGTGTGTAAGACAGCTGCAAAGAACATTGAGACATAGCATGCCAGTTTTCAAATCTTAAAAAAAAAAAATTAGTGCATGCTTTGTAATTTTAAGGTAGAACTTTTTTATTTTAAAATTAAAACTAAATGATTTATAATTGGGAGGGCTTATGTTCTCTTAAACCTAAAGACTATTTTACTTGTCTTACACCTTCGAAAAAAGTTATTCATACTTGGTATCTTAACTTTTAGAATCTGAATCTGAAGACAGTTCTGATGATGAACCATTAATTAAAAAATTGAAAAAACCACCTACAGATGAAGAATTAAAGGAAACAGTGAAGAAATTACTGGCTGATGCTAACTTGGAAGAAGTCACAATGAAGCAGATTTGCAAAGAGGTAATTGGGCACACATACTCTAGTTACTCTCCTTTGACTTAGAAGTCACTTAATTTGAAACTGTTAGTGCATGTTTTTATGTATCCATTCAGAGAGTATTGAACTACTATTTCAGGCCCTCTTGTGGGTACTGGGTACTGTAGTAATCATAAAACAATCAAACATCTCTAAACATTTTTATGAATAGTCAGTAAATTAAAATGATGTGCTTCACAACACAGACTTTTCCTGGTCTGAAAACTTAGTGATGCATTATTGGCTTATATTATTTAAAGAGCATCTCAGAAGTCACCTTACTTAGTGTGCAGATGACTGTCACTAACTTAAACTTCTCTGGAATTCTTTTAATACGTTTCAGGAAATGTTACTCTTGAATGAGTCATTATCCATATTATAGATAGATTTGGAGATTGAAAAAAAATCTAGTTTCTTACGAATAAATGAAGTTGAATATGAAATACACCAAAGGTAAAATGGCCTGTACTTTTATTGAACTTATTTTTAAATTATTAGACATTCAGTTGAGCCTTTACTACATGCCAAGGTAAGACTAGGTGTGAAGAGATAAAGCAGAGAAGTTATTACTTGTCTTTAAATATGCGGGCAGTTCAGTGACAGGGAGAAATACCCAGCAGAGGGTGTGTGCAAACTGTTTGAACACTTTCGGGAGGAGTGCAGCACCACAGAGCATACATTCCTTCCTGGGATCAGATGGGGGCCAGGGCTTAAGAGTATGCAAAAGCATCTAGAATTATTCACTGAGTCCCAAAATAATAAATAAACAGTAATAAATAAACAGAATAATAATAAAATAATAAACCCTTTATAGCCGTTCAACTTTCATGATTTGACCCTTTATTTACTTCCTCATGTTGTAGTGCCTCCTAGCCATAAAATTATTTTTGTCGCTACTTCATAACTTAAAATTTTGCTACTGTTATGAATCATAATGTAAATACATGTTTCTGATGGTCTTAGGTAACTCCTGTGAAAGGGTCATTCAACTCCCAGGTTAAAAGCCACTGCTTTATTGTCGAAGAACAATGGCATACTTCTAATTGCATGTTAATTTTATTTTCAATGTTATCACTTTGATATATTTAAGTATGCCAGTACCACATGATCTAATGACTGTAAGAAACAGTAATTTGTCTTAAAACTAGTCTGGCAAGGAAGTCTTTATTGAAGTAAGGAGAGAACTAGAGGTTTGAAAATCTGTAAGTGCCTTGGAACTAACTTTCTTGAAACTAAGGTAATTGAGAATCTGGATAGAATATTGAGATAGTTGAAAGGAACATATCATAATAGCTACTTTTGTTTGTTTGGAGATAGGGTCTCTGTAAACTAGGATGGCCTCTAGCTCATGCTTTAATGCTAGCATTAAAAGAATGTTTTACTCCAGACTCAATATTTACATTATCTAAAGTTACCCAACAAACATCAAAAAAGGTGATTTGACAAAAGACAATAGAGGTAGAAAAGCAACTGGTATATGACTGGGGAAATAATAGTATTTGCACTATAGAGATCGACAGTTTTCAATATTAGTAAATGTAGAAAATCACGTACTATTTGTAACAGCTTCTTGGAATTTAGATGGTACATCCCCTTTAACTTAGCAATTCCATTTCAAGGCCTCTCATTAAAGGCATAGTTGTATGATGCCAATGTGAATATTCATTCAACTTTGTCTATAAATACTGAAAAATCAGAAGTTGTGTAAATGACTATCCAAAGGAAATTAGTACAACTTACTAAATATATTAAGGGTTGTAGTTTTATAGCCAAACAAGGGATAGCTGCAATGGTGTAAGTGGCAGACATGTTTGCAAAGTCAGGCCAACTATAGGCGTGGGCTAAGTCATCCAATATTACTATATTTTGTGAATAAAGTTTTACAATGAAGCTACACCTACTTGTATACCTACTACATCTGTTTCATACATCTGAACAGTTGCATAGTTGTAACAAACTCTGCCTAACAAGGCTCCAAGCATTTTGTTGCTTGTCTATTTATAGCAAAAGTTTTATAGGCCCTAAATGAGGGCAGGAGTTCAGCTTCAGGGTATTTGTAGGCTTGTGAGTTCAGACTAGAAATTAAGCAATAGATTTGAGACTAAGAAAGTTGGGGACAGATTAGTTTAAATTCTAGGAGTAAAGCACTTAAGAGACCATTTGAATTTTCATGATTTAATTAAGAGAATTACATATATAGAGAGGTTGAAGTTCAAACTGTAGAATTCTAAGCAGAATATTGGGTGCTATGGAGACTAGGACCTCTAAAAGACACTCCACAGATAGCCTTCCAGTCCCTGTGGTTTTGATTCACTACTACTCTGAAGTTATAAAAGCACTGGGAATGTCACTTGACTATATTACTCTGAATACAATATTACTAAATTTCATTTGCAGGTATAAGTCTATTGTGAACCATGGAACACTTATCTATGTTTATTAATCCAAAAAAACAGTATTATGGACTTTTAAATTTGCTTTTAATGTTTTTAGGTATATGAAAACTATCCTGCTTATGATTTAACTGAGAGGAAAGATTTCATTAAAACAACTGTAAAAGAGGTAAATATTTCCTAATTTTTCCTTATTTGATCATTTGGCATAGAAACCAAAAGTATCAAATTATTGCATTTTTAGTTATTAATGACAGTGAAAAAATTCACATCTGAGACAGCAGAGTTGTTAATAAGCATAGATGAAGAAATACATTTAGTAAGTTTGAGCAGTTTTTTTTGATAAAGCCTTACTTAGCCTAGGTTAAGATAGGTTCATAGGCACATAGTAGCTTTGTTTCTGAGAATGGTACTCACTAGCTTCAAGACAGCTCACTCCAAGGCATGATAAGGTCAGCAGTAACCACTGCTTCATATTTAGCTCACCTGATTTCCCAAGGTCACATTAATATCTTATGAGTAAGATTTTATGATATATGCATAATTGATTTTGTGTTGGGTGTGGTAAAGTGATTTCTTTTTTTGTTGCAGCTAATCTCTTAAACCAGAGGACAGGTGGCTTGCTCTCAGATTTGAAGATATGATTTATACCAGCAAAGAGAATATTTTCTTTTTTAAGTCTATTGTTGGTAGAACTCGCTGCTGACCCTTTGAGTGTTAAATATATTTGAGCTTGCTGTTTTAAATTGCATTTCCTTGCAGTTTTCAGTTTAAGTCTTGCATGGCAGTAATTGTTTCTTGCTTTTATAGTTGTACATTTTGGATTTCTTTATTGTAAGGTCATAGATTTCTGAACTGTTGTGGATTTTAGTGCACTTAATGTTAGCTTAAGACACTTTTAATCAAAGCAAAAACTATTATAACCAGCATTTATACATGCAGAGACTATTGCAGTATTTAGTATATGAAATATTTTGAATACACCTTCCGTCAGTGTGAACGTAGTGGCAGTTTGTTCATCATATTAGAGCACAGCCGTTCAGATGACCGAGTTGGAACTTTTTCTGCATGCGTATATATGTCAAGTTGTCAGCATGACAGAAGTGACAGATGTTATTTTTGTATTTTTAAAAACCAATTTGTTGTATATAATTTTTTAATTTCTTTTGTGCAGATCAATTTTTAAACTCATGTAGGTAGGTGTCTTTACACTTGTAACTAAAGAATGTCAGTGTTCAGCCAGGCAGCATGACAGAGCAGTCTGTTCAGTGGTGGCAGCACTGGAGGGGACTGCCCAGTTCTGCTTTGCTCTGAAAGTGTCATCAATTTTTGGTATGTTAAGTGTCATAGAAATTTTATATTGAGGATAAACCAAAATCAACACATCAAGAGTTTCAAAAAACTGGGAAAGGGTGAGCACACTTGGCTTATATATGTGAATTTGATAGTAACTAGTAACTAAACTTCTTTGACCATTATAATAATTATGATTAAAAGTATCAGATGTGATGCCAGAAGATGGTATATGAACAGTGTAGGGTAACTCTAAAAGTATCAGATTGTAATGCTGGCAATGTAGGTATCTTTGAAAGTATTTCTCAAAAACCATACATTAAATTTTTTTGAAGTATTATAGAAATGAAGGCTGTTTGATTTTTAAATTTTGGTCAATCAAGTAAATATGGTCTGCCCCTGAATTTAAATTTTGCCTTTTGACTGTCCTAATAACCTATTTGTGAATTATACAAATAAGCTGCTTTGACAAGAGTGACAATTGATGTACCAACTGAGTGTTTAATTTCTGCATCATAAATCAGATTAATGTTGAGCATTAACAGGTATTTTCACATATCTGACTTTAGTATGCATAGAGTGAAATGGAACAAGTAACTAAATGGGGACTAAAAATTGGCCTTTACTTTTAAATAATTTGTTATAAATCTTGGCAATAAAGAATAAATTGATGTTTTAAATGTCTTGTATCTAGTCTTTCCATTTATTTGCTTTCGTGTCATTCTCTGGGGTGTGGGAGGATTAATCCCCTAATCCGATGACTTAGATTTCTTCAGTAATAACGGACCACTTTTGAAGTGATTGTTTGAAAAGACTGAAAACAAAGTTGACAGTGATGCTAAAACCTTTTATTAAGGGTATTTGCAAAAGTTCTTATTAAGCAGTTTTACATAACCAATCATTCATGATGTGTAGTTAAATCACTGTAAGAATACTTCTGCTCAGTAACAATTTTTTTTTGTTTTATTTATTATTTTTTTATATGTCAGGGTTTCTCTCTATAGCCCTGGCTGTCCTGGAACTCACTCTGTAGACCAGAGGCTGCCTTTGAACTCAGATTCCTTTGCCTCTGTCTCTCGAGTGCTGTGATTAAAGGCGTGCAACACCACTGCCCTGCTCTCATTAACAAAAATCTTAAAGAGGTTGAAAAACATAGCAACTCAAAAGTACCATAGTTCCTGTAGAACAACGTATGAAATTAAGTATGTCACTTAAAACTGAAACTTAAATACACATTTATACGAAATGGCATAACACAAGCTGAAGTGCCTAGAAACTAAATAACTTAGACTAAAATTTTAACATTTTGTATTTATCACTTCACACACACTAAACATTTTTAATTACTTACACTTTAAAGCAGAATACTTCCCTTATCAGTACCAATGAGTCTCAACAAATAACCTCTAAGTACAGTGAATGATTCACTTTTAAATATGTAGTCATTGGCTTGTATCATACCTTGACAGGGAGGGTTTGTATCTAGACAGTCTAGAGCTCACTTCACTGTTAACAAGCTAATTTTGAATTTCAGAAATACCTAATTTCAAAAAGTGGCTTTAAAGTCCTTTGTAGCCCCCTTTTAAAAGCAGATCAATATAATTCAAAGAACTGTTCAATGACTTTTTAAAACAAAAGCATATTTCTAGTTTGTCAACTGAAGTCTCTTGGCAGAATAGGCATCTAAAAGACCCTGAAACCTATGTTTATTAAACAAACTTTAAATGGAAAAGTTTTGCCATATTCAGACTTTAACATATGGCTTATAAAGTATGTGCTATGTACCAACATAATTAAGTTTTTCTGCAGTTTTCCAGTGGACCTGCCTATGGGAAACTTACTATAAACTATATAAAATAGTAGACACTGTAAATTACTTTAAAAATAAGAGGGGCTTTTAAATTTTGCCAAATTTTAAGTATACTGCCCACCCAAAAATGGTTTGTTTTATAGTGTGAAAACATTCTGCACCCATTGAGAATGTAACATACATACTCTCGTGTTGCTGATGAGTGCACAGACCTAAAATATCAAAATATACCTGAATCTTAAGTTTTGAATACCCAATGAAAAGTATGTAGTATAAAATAGCCTAGCTTAATGTCATACCTTCAAATTGTATCAAAAAAGAATTGAAAATTTTAAGAAAAGTCCAAAGATTGGAGCTGTGTAGAAATATTAAGGCTCATTGGTAAAGGGACTGAAAAAATTGTCACAGAACACATGGCTTTCTAAGTTTCCTAGTGACTCCTGCTGGATGACGTGATTCATAATATAGGAAAAGTAATCTGCCAATGAAATGTCCCGTCTGAAGGGATCCATAAGGTCTCAATTTTAGGCTGTACTGTGCCGCCTTCTGAAAACCACAGGACTTAGCACTAATTTGGCCTTTGGAAAGATAAAATTCAATGTAAGTGCCTAGAAGGATTTTGAGAGTCAGTGATTTCAGAAGAGAAATGGTACACATTTTCCTATCACCACAGATACATTTCAGTCTTACTATACAGTCTCCTCTCTCTTACAAAACTGAAGTTTAACTTGTGTTTCAAACTTTTCTATTTGGGACACAGAAGAAAGGTAGGTACGTCCATCCATACATGTTCTATTTAAAAGGCTGCAATCTTGCTTGCTTCTCGAACGCCACTCAAATATGCCCCTGTAACAGTTTGTGGGAAATGTCTGTTGGTTGCCTGTGGGGGGAAAAAAACTATTTCAGACTGTGCATAAAAAATTGATATCAACAATAGGTCATAAGACCGTGTACTTTTTTGTCTACCTAAAAACGATTTATTTGTTCACGACAGCCTTGAACTTTGGCTTCTTTTCCTATGCTTTAACAGACTTCTACAGTATGCCAAGTACTGTGGCATTCATGGAAATACTATCTAGGACAGTAAAGGTAAGTACTGGGCTGGAAAGTATGATCACATAAGCCTCAGAAATGGGTTGGGTGTTCAGAGAAACATGAGAATAACTACCCAGGGAAAGCAAGGAAGTCCAAATAAATCCTATTTTAGCTTCTAAAAAACTTCCACCTCTAGAAGGAGATGGCAAATGCTGCCTCATATGGCCATTATGTACAATTTCCACAGCTGGCTTAAGATGTCTTAAGATAAAACCTGATTTGTAATCCCACATTACAATATAAAAAGTCTGACTGCTGGTAGACTTGTAATAGAGCTTCCTTTATGATGGGACAGAGGACAGGAACTAACAAAAGGCAAACCAATTCTAGAAGAATCTTTGGGACTTGAAGCATAGCACAACAGCACCTGGTTTCCAAAGCTCTAGGTGACAGATGCTGCTGTGCCTCCTCTGGTTGATAAAGTACTTCAGACATGAGGATCTACACGTTTAAAAAACTTGATGTAGTGTCACACCCTTGTACTCAATTCTAGGAAGGTGGATCTCTAGGGTATGTTTTCTGCCCAGCAAGCATAATCCACTTGGTAACTCCAGCCTATGAAACCCTTGTTTCCAAAACAGCAACAAAACAAGGTGGACAGCTCCAGGGGGATGGCATACATTTCCCCATCAAACATGCCCCTCTTCTCATGAAAACACAGGCGTCATGTTAAATAAAAAGCCAGAAGCAAAGTTACTACCAAAAGGAAAGGTTCTCAGGCGCAGTGATGCCACTGCTGGAGCTGGGAAGGCAGCTCAAATGTGCTTTACAACCAGCAAGAGAAACAGGAAACATTTTTCCAAAGCCAGTGAGACAACTGAGTCAGAATGGGGTGGCAATAAAAACAATGCCAAGAAAATACTCATTCCGGTGAAAAGATTACCAAAGATCTCTCCCAAAGTTGAATAGAAATAAGAAAGGTTGGTAGTTCAAGAGTTTGAAGGACAGAAGATCTAAGGATCAAGAAAATGGGAGAATGTACTATACTATATAGTACTGTACTATAATCTCATGTCAGTGAATAGTGCAAAGACTCCAGGGTTTCAGATAATAATAAGCCAGCTAGGAGGGAGATCTGAGTATACTGTGAATTGGAGATGACTGAAGGCTAGGGCAGACAGCTATCAAAAAAGCAAAAAACTTTAGTAATGGAACCCATGAACACCTTGGCTCAGCAATAAACATTACAATGCACATGACAGTTAAAGACACAGATACCAACCAAATGCGTTGGCTGACATCTGCAATCTCTCAAGAGTATGGGGCAGGAGGATTGCTGCAATCCAGCCTGAACTACAGAGTGAGACCTGCTCAAAAGAGCACGGATACCAAGTAAAATAGCTGCATTAAAAGAATGGTATATGGAGACTATGTAAGTTCTATTTTTAGCATAACAAAGTAAGTCAGAGTCTAATATTAAATCACACAATGTCAGTATAAGTACTTTAAGACAGATAAACCTAAAGAATGGTGTGTTCATAGGAAAACTAGACAGTTAAAAATGGCTGCTAGCAGAAATATAAGGCAGACTTTCAGAATGGAGAGGGCTTCTACCATATGTGGTCATGAGACTTTCAAACATGCCTGACTTGAGTTTTAAGACTGAGCCACTTTAACTGAAAATACTGATGTCAAGATATGTACCTCACCAGCAAAAAAGACAGATCCTTGTATTTCTTCAGCAATGATGTCATAGGCCTCACCACTTCCAAATGTTTTGACAAAACTATACGCCATCTGGATCCATGGCTCTGTGCTCCACCGTGTGACAAAATACTTGGTGGGATCTGGGACCTCCTTGATGTGCAAACAAAAATTATTTTAACAAAAGGATCAAAAAAAACCTTGGATACAGCACAACCCAGTTAGAAATAAACTTTTCCCCTTCTAGGCCTGTTTACTGTTGCAGCCTAAGCAGCAGTGTGTCCTTCCTTCCTGTGCACTCTTTCCCTTCTCCAGCCACACTTGATCCCTTCACGTCTATGCTTCACCTGCCAAAGACACACTCTGTACAACGACCTGCTACAGTGGCTGTAAACTAAACTTGATTTTGTCCACTGGCCTTGGACAACTTTAACATGCAAAACACTTCCCTATAAACTACAGTTCCAAATAACTAAAACTACAGGTGAAATAACTAAATTCCAAATAACGCCAAACCCAGGCTGAGAACGACTGACAGGACTGCATGACTAGTTAGATCTCTGAGTGCCCCTCAATTGAAATTCTGAGCTGCTCCACTTCTATTTCTGCTCTTAATCAGGCTGCTTCCAGACCTCTAAGCAATGGGGAAGGTACCTGGAGCTCCTTGGAGAGAGTTGCTTATTGGTGCACTAGGAAATTTTAGAAAATGCCCAGTGGATAAGGGCAGTTCTGCCAAAGCATGAGGACCTAAGTGATCTCCAGAACTTACATAGTGGAAGGAAGCTGTCCTCTGACCTACACATATGTGTAATAGTATGCACATTTAAATACATAGGTTTTTTTGTTTTTGTTTTTTAAGAATGATAGTCAAAGCTGTTACAGCTTGGGTAAACATGGGAATTATAAGGAAATGGCCTTTTACAATCTTAGGAAAGGAAGGTAAGTGTAAATGATGTGACGAGAAAAAGAATGCTGCTCTATAGCCCTGACAGATCCTAGTTTTAAGTACTAAGGCCATCCGAATGGAACTGGGAAGTGTGAATCTTAGCTGGGTAACTGGATTACAAAAGGCGTGTTAGAGAAGGCCTAATTCAGTACAACCAGCTTCTGTCTTTAGACTACAGAAGGAAAAGTATTTGAGGATACCAAGGAAAACATCTAACCATGAAGAGTCTACAGAGACCAACCCAGCTAGACATCTTCATCCTGGGCCTGAGCTTGCAGAACTATAAAAGACTAAGTCTCGGCACCGTGCTCTGTCATTTTGCTCTGGAAGCCCTGATACTTAGCTGGGTACCCAGGTGGAGATGAAAATCAATATGGTCTGTCTTGATCCCTTGGTATTCAGTGACACAGACTGGCTCACATCCCTTCCCCAATAAGCACGTTTATCCTGTCAAGGAGGGTTTTTCTCACCTGCTCTTTAAACAGCTCCCGAAGGATGCCCATGCACTGCTGCAACACCTGCTTGTCATCCATGGTCCTGAGGGATGCGACTGCCTCCCCTGTGATCACGGACATCAGTACACTCTGCTGCTTTTGCAGGCACACAGAGAAAAGCACAGGGCACTTGCTGTAAAGGCTCAGTTCCACATACAATATCACTGTGTCCCATTGCCCTTTATCTTCAGTCCCCATCCACTCTCCTCATGCACACTACTCACCGCCCCCCCCCCGCAGCATAAACACTCATGAAATAATACAAAGGTCAAATTCAAGGTTCCCTTGGCTGTTTATGAAATTTTGTTGGAGAAGCAGCAGAAAGACTGAGAAAGAAATCTGCAAGAATAACTAAATAAAGGCTTATAGGCTTCCACTTGAAACCCTTTAAAGCATTTCCCCAAAATGGGGGAAAGTAGGAAACAGTGGCGAGGCCCCTTTTCATTTGACAGCATAGTTCCCACAGCTGTCTACTTGTCTGCTCTCACCCGGCCCTCACACGGCCCTCTCCTACCTAACCTAGCTCAGAAGAGACAACAGTTACATTTGGTCCACTGATTTCCTGTGCTGCCACTGACCTTTCGTGAGGAATTCACTTTCAACCTGAAATAAGCTTTCATGAGCATTGTTGACTCAAACCCCATAGAGCAGAACTGATACTTTTAAGAAAACAGGGCAAGGATTGGGATTCCTTTCCCAAAGGAAATGTCCATCCTCCCCAGAATATAAAGACATAGCACAGATCTACACAACCATCACTCATTCCTGCTCATGGCACATAATTTGCAAACCCTAACATTCAAGAAGGAACTCAAACCACACGACAAAATTTTACCTGGGGGTCCATGTCATAGTATACAGCAAAGAGCCCTCGTTGGCTGGCACTGGGAGGAACATGACCAAAAAAGTCAGCCCCTTGAACTTTACTGTCCCAAAATCTATATGGAAACTGCAAGGCAATCTGGAAAGCAAGCAGGGAGAATAAGTCCACCCTGTGTCAATCACTGGCCATCTCGACACGTGTTGGGGACTGCAGACCCTCAGACCCTGAATTTTCTGTGACCCTTTGCCTGCTGGAGTAAACAACTTGTTTTCCTATGCTTGCTGCTGCTCTGAGCACGAGACCATCATGAGTTCCTGATGGCAAGGGGGTGGTTTCTGGTGGGCTTGCAGTTGAGAAGTCCCTAGAGCTGGGGCGTGGCTGTCAGTCAAGGAGAGCCCTATATAAGCTGCCCGGGAACATAGTAAAAAGGGTATTCTTGTTTCAAGGATGACCCATGTCTGTCTGTCTGTCTGTCAGTCTGTTTCTGTTTCTCTCTCTCTCTCTCTCTCTCTCTCTCTCTCTCTCTCTCTCTCTCGTGTGTTTCAATCTCCAGCCCCTTGCCCGACTCGCAAACCCTGTGGTAGACAGGTGGTACAGTATAGACACAACCTCGAAGTCTACTCACAGACAACTGCACTAGTTTCAAAACTGCCCACCTATTTAGTGCTGAGCTCCATAAGCTACACACCACTCAAAAGGCCTTCTAGTATCTGCAGCATGGCCTTGACTTCTAACGGAGTCCATAACATGGACATGGGAAACAAATTAAGAGCTGCTTACAGCAAAGTCAAACTCAGATGACTAGATTCATTTCTCAGCTGGGCTTGGTAGGCAGGCGGATAATCTTAACACTTGAGAGGTTGAGGCTGGAAAATCAAGGCTTCAAATCTACCCCTAGCTACAGTTTGAAGGCAGTCTAGAGTACATGAAATTCCATCTAGGGGTTCAAGAGAACTAAAAGTCAAGATGGAATTCAGCTGGCCTTTTTTTATCCAAATTATATCAGAAATTTTTAAATAAGGCTAAACTTTTTTAAAAATATCTTTCCTGCCTGAGACAGGGTTTCTCTGTAGCTTTGGAGCCTGTCCTGGAACTAGCTCTTGTAGACCAGGCTGGCCTCAAACTCAGAGATCCACCTGCCTCTGCCTCCCGAGTGCTGGGATTAAAGGCATGTGCCACCATCGCCCCGGCTCCTGCTCCCATTTTTTAACTGAGTAAAATTAATTGTTTGACATACATGTATATAGTACATTGTTTACTCTTACTCCCTGTTGTTTGCCTAACTGAACAGAAGGTTATTATCCAAACAAAACTATCAGCCAGCACTGATCTCGGAGTTCTGAGGCTAAGGTAATTTAGGTCACCTTTTCAATGATGCCTGCACCCAAGCTATTGATGGCCTTCATCTTCTTCTCTGACAACGGTGGATTAAACTGGATGGCACCTCTCTGTAGAATGGCTAGTGGCACCGTGACCAGTACCTGTGGGGAACAATTAACACAGCATCTGAAACCGCCCACACTTCTCGGTGCTCATATTAGCCAACACTGGAACATTGCTCTCTGCTCTCCTGGCTGTAAAACTGCCAATATCCCACTATGTTCTAGGAATGGGGTGCTATGTGCGTTCACATAGGTTGTTCATTACACAGGAGTGCCTAGCTGAGCAGAAGTGGCAGTCACACAGGAATGTACATGAGAACCTTCTTGATGGCTAATGATAAGCTGGGTTGGCAGGTAGCACACTTCATCTCTGAAAAGCAGTGCTATTTATGGAAGTGGCCCAAGCATGATGGTAAACACTTGTAATCCCAGCACTCTAGAGATAAAGACCAAGATGATCAAAGCCAGCCTGGACTATATAACAAGTTGAAGGCCAATTGGATACACAGTGAGATCTTGTCCACAAAAAAATGAAGAAAAAGAAAGGGGGTTAGGAGTGCCCAAAATAATCTGAGCTTGTTGTCATTCTCAATCCCTTCCTTGCCAACAGTCTATAAAATAAAGGAAATGTCTGCCCTTACTGATCTCAGAATCAGAGTACTACTCTAAACTAGGAGGCAATAGTATGCTCCATAATTGATGAGCATATTATAAACTGTGAAACCACATGAGAACGTTTTAAGCGGTAAGGCTTTACTACAAGACTTCAAGTAATTTTAAAGGTCAAAGTGAACTCTTGGCTGGGTATGGTAGCACAACTATAATCCTAGCACTTAGAAGGTTAAGGCAACCAAGGCTACATACCAAGGACCTATTGGGGAAAAATGGGATCCTTGAAGCCACATAATAAAAACAAGCCATCAAGAATAACTGCTGTCTCAGTTTACCATTCAGAAAGTTCTGGTTCCAGAATCAACCAAGAAGTCATCACTGCTACCAGCACCAGAATCACTCTACATATAGAAAGACCTGCACCAGCAAAACAGGTGTCTCCTGCCCCATCCTCTGGCTTCATGGGACCTCTGCTACCCCTGCTACAGCAGAACCAAGCACTTTAATCACTGTGCTGGCACAGCAGAGGTAGCAACAGTGAAGCAAAGCCAGACAGCACTTCTCAGATGTGTATACAACTGGTTGGATGTCACAAGGAGACAAGGGAGTCTGCATAAGAGGAAGGGAAGAACTACAACTGCCTTTCAATATCTGCAGGACTAGATGAAACAAGAATGCACTGGAATCTCAACATCCTATGTACTCTCATCCTCAGACACTCCATGTACTTGGTTTAACCACCAGTTCTGGGATCAGAGCAAGTCCAGAGTTCTTCTGAGTTCTGTCACTACTTTTTGCCACCCCAAAGTCCTTAAAGTATAAAAGATGTTCTCCCTCCTAAAGCTTACAATCTATTCGTATGTACTAGCATCCACATGACCAAAATAGTCATTGCCAAAGAACAGCTGACATGACAACTGTCAAAAATAAGTTCTAGAAGTCTTACTAACAAAACTTTCCAAGGCACGAGCTCTTGAGTAAGCCACTAGTGGTACAAACTCACCCTGGTAGGACAGTGGGGCTCATTATCTGGGAAAGCAACCTAGACAGAGTTACAGTCTGTCCAGCTGGGCTGCACAGCAGGAAGACTTCCAATACAAACAGTGATGAGTATTAGCCATATAATGAAAATATCTGCTTTGAACATTTTAAAGTGTGGTTTGCAGCTATGTTGATTCATCTGGAAGGCCTCAGGAGTGCATGTGTCTAGCCAACATCAGCAGAGGGAGAGGGTGACCAGGCAGGGAAATAGCAAGTAGCATGTTATCCTAGGCACTAAGATGCAGACACAAAGAATTCCCTCCCTTGAATGGAGCCGAGTTGTAATTTTAAAAGCCCATATTTAAAATGCTAGCCTTTGGAGGAAGTTACATAGTAGGAGCTTACAGTGGACACGACTACCCAGTGGCTCCCAGCCAGCTGATGACAGCAGTTCTAAGACACCTCCAACCCATTGTATCTCTAGGCCCCATCCTCCCTGTGTGATATGCAATCCTTTGTTTCTGTATGAATATCCAGGACCATGAAAGCCGTCAGATGACAGAGGAGAAAGCAAAGCTAGTCTGCCAGCAGGTGACAGGGTCCATCAGTGAGATCTCTCTATCATCATTTCAACTCCAGAAATAACCAAGCTTTCAGGGTAACTGCCTTCATTTTCCAGTACTACGCTTCACACTGGGATTTCAGCAACTAGACTCAGCATCTTGCACTATCCACTTATTGAAGCTGTTTATCAAGAGTCCAAGCTACATCGAAGTACTTAAGCTCCATGAAATACAGTTTCAAGATGAGAATCTGAATTTGAAAAGGGTTCCAGCATCCCTTTCAATCCTAAGAGTGCTGTGCTATACAACTTCCCAAACTCATGTGACCATGGCATTTTCAGGAGGAAGAACTGAGGACAACATTCAGGTCCTCACACTGGAACTCAATCGCCAACCCTGGGAATTTTCTTATTCAATTATTCGGCCATAGAACCCACTTTAAGGAACACAGACAGTACTCCATCTGCCATGTGTTTAGACAGTGCTTGAATATCTCAGATTTGTAAGCTACTAACAACTTGTGGGTAGACCTGCTTCATTAAAAACCAACAAGTCTCTAGGCAGACTCCAAGGACAAACTGCTTGATGGCTAAGATGGGCCCTTGGTAGTATGGTGCTCTATCCTAGTAGGACCCCAGCACCTACCTTTTGTGCAGAATACCCTATACCATCTGTCGTGGTAACTTGCACTTCATCTCCAGTATAATCTATACTTTGCACCTGTTCAAGACAAACATTTAGCAACAACGTGAGGGTCAGGACCTTTCCCACGATATATGTGTGTGTACAGCCAAGCTATGCATGCAGACTAGGGTGTGCTGGGCATGTGGCACTCTTGAGTGGTTACAGCTGAACTCAGTTAAAGTTTATAAATATGGCAAGATAATAGAAAAGGCTTTATTATAGCACAAAGCAAGGCAGATCACTTCTGAAACTATGAAGACATAAGCCCACTGTGGTGAAGAACTTAGTGTTAAATTAGGGCTAGCGAGGTCATGAGCTACTGAAGCCCTGTATTGTTCTTAAAACTACATCCTCCCAAAACTTCACACCCTCCCCAGTCTCCCACCCATCCAAACTCACTGGAGATTTGAGGCGAATGTCTAGTCCTTCAGCCAGTTTTTCAATGATAGTAGAGTATCCAGGAGTTAGAAGAGTATGGTCACCAGCAAACTGGGCAAAGAATTCATTGTGGTCCCAGGAGCGAGCAGACACCTAGGAAACAATACAGTGTTAGGAAGCCATAATGTAAACCTACAAGCTGCTCCGGAGGACATAAAAAAATGAGGACCAACCAGCCCCAGGGCACACCAGTGCCTGGGGAAGGCAAACTATGTGACACACAGAAAAGCTTACATTAGAACGAAAGATCTAAACAGACATGGCAGCTCATGCCTTTAGTTCTGGCACCTAGAAAACTGAAGTATTGCCCTAACTTCCAGGCCAATTAGTCTACGGAGTGAGACTTTGTCTCAAAATAAATACAAGTGGACAGCACCTGAGGAACAGTACCTGAGATTGTCCTCTGGTCTACGCGTGCACATATACACCCACACACGTGACAAATGGGGGAAGAAGGTTTAAATTATTTCAGAATAGGTACCACTCATTGATTAAAGAAAAAAATGTTTACTTGAAGCATCAGATGAAGGGGGCTCCCTCCCAGACCCCAGAGTAAGCACAAACCACACCCAAACATCTCTGCTCACAGAGACCCTTTATTTAGCAGGGAAGAAAAGTTAAAGTGGCTGCTCTGACTCTGGCAGAAAAGCAGCTGCAAATGACCTCATAGGTGTAATTTCTAAGAGAAGAGAAGGGAGGCCTGCATTAGAATGGGCTGGGATGCTGTGGTAAAGGAGATAGGGAACAGGGGAGAGAGGGGGAAGCAACAAGGGAAAGGGAGCACAGGTATGTGTCCCAGAGGGACAAAGGCCTCCTCTGAATAGAGAGAGACAGACATAGCACATAGACAAATGGCAGTTTAAAAAAGTAAAGGGGGAGACCTCGTGTTAGGATGAGATGTTTCATTTTAATTGGGCATATTAATTAGGTGAGCCAAAGGGGCCTTCAGATTGCTGGACTTCAATTCTTCAATAGCTGAACCCTGGTAGTCAGCCTTAGGAGGTGGAGTGGGTAAAAATGTCGGTAGCTAGCGTTAGGAATGTAATCTAACAGTTTTTACAAGGCAGAGGGAACAGGAGAAGGGCAAGGCCTGCCAGGGCCACGTGCTCGAGTGGGCTAGGTCCCTTCATCAGCAACTCTGGTAAAGGCAAATTCTATGGAGGTCAAACTGCATGCATTTTTTCCAACTCCACAGGAATATCCGCCAAATTTCTATCCTCAACACAGGTAGGAGTTCCATAAAGGCCAAGACCCAGCACATTTGGGGGAAATGGTTCAATCCAAATTGTACTGCAGAGTAGCATGGAGGCGGAGGTGTTCTCAAGACTGCTTCCTTGCAGGGGAGTGGACTGTTGATTCGCCGCTGGCTAAGTGACTTATGCAAGCTTGAAATTCACTTCTACAAGACCAACAGGACAGAACTGCAATGCTACATTAGTTTAGTTTCTTGGAGCAGTGTTTTTAAACAATATGTCCCCACTAAAATGACTCTCAGGGCCACTGCACAGGGTAAAGAGCAGCAAAGATAGACTCCTGGTCCCTTCTCAGGTCCAGCTCCCATCCCTCCCTTCTTGGTGTTACAGAGTGAACTTTTTCACAGGCAGTATGGTAGGACATGTCTGCAACCCTATCACCTGGGAGGCTGAGGGATGAGAAACCTGAGTTCGGGACCAGTTGGTGCTACCAAGCAATATTTAACTTTACAATCAGATAAACTACCAGCCAAGTGGCGGTATGTGCCTGTATCCCCAGCAACATGAAGGTGGTGACAAGAAGAGTTGGCGCTATATGGCCAGTTCAAACCCAGCCTGGGTTACACAAATGGCCAGCAACATGGCTCTCTGGTTGAAAGTGCTTGCTGCATAAACCTAGGACCTGAATTTAGTCAGAGTTTTTACAGTGAAGGCGTAGAACCAGCTCTGGAAGGCTGGCCTCTAACCAGTGTATGCATGCAGTGGCACTCAAGCAACTGTACAGACACACACGGGACGGGGGAACGCAAGGCTCACTGACCTTGAGCAAGCCTCCTCTCTGCCTCCTCAACACTGAGATCATAAGCACACACATCTGGTTTCTCAGGGGTACTGGGGATCTGAACTCAGATCCACATGCTTATACAGCAGCACTTTACTGAATGAGCCCGCTCCCCAGCTGCACGCCAGAGTATCTGAGGACCCACGGGCTCACCTGGTGCAGGCTGCTGCCACAGGCGTACTCCAGGTTGCTCAGGTGGAACTGCAGCACCTGTCCTTCCAGCTCACTGAACTGGATGCCAGATTCCTTCACAAAAGCTTGGTAGATCTCCTCTATCTTCTCTGTGGTGAGAACGGATCAGAGCGGAAAAATCAGCTGAGGAGCAATTTCCTGTCCAATTCCTGATCCTGCTTTCCCCAAAAGAGCCCAAAATTTCCAGTCTTCCCAAGAAAACTCAGGAATAAGTAGAATGCAATATATTCTTGATGGGGCCAACTCCTCAGCAAGTTTTTTGTTTGTTTGTTTGTTTGTTTGTTTTTCGAGACAGGGTTTCTCTGCTGCTTTGGAGCCTATACTGGAACTAGCTCTTGTAGACCAGACTGGCCTCGAACTCACAGAGATCCGCCTGCCTCTGCCTCCCGAGTGCTGGGATTAAAGACATGCACCACCACCCAGCTGCAAATGCTTAATCTTGATGGAAATGAAAGCTGGCCATTAAAACACTTTAAACGCCTGCTTAGTTGAGAAGCTGTCTCCTCTGCTCCAGAGATGGAAAAAGTCCCCTTACACATGCAGACAGGATCACCATGTCCTTTCTGCTCTGACCTTGAAGCTCCTATATCATCTCCTCTCAACCAACAGAAATACGAAAAGACGGCTTGAGTGCAGTCTCTCCTGTGGCCTTTTGCTGTGTCAGCAATCTTTCTCAACACCACTAATGAATTCCTGTTGCAACACACAGTTAAGTTCCAAAAGTTGACTGAGCAGGGTCGGCCTGCTGGCTTTGCCCATGCAGCAACTATGACCTACTCACTTTGAGGCTTGACCACACAGCTCTTAAATCCATTCAGGGTAAATTCTAGCCCTGCTAGACTTGCTTCTCCTGCTGTCTAGTTTAAGTACAGCCTCCAGTGCCTGGGTCTTCCATGCCTTACAGTCTAGTGTTATCTAGCGACTGCCTCTGCCTCCCTAGTGCTGTATTACAGGTGTGTATAGGATTTATCTATCCCATTCAACTGCAATTTTAACTATAGACATTCCTGTGAAATTGTTCTGGTTGGCTTAACTAAACAATAATGGGGGGTTGCACACTTGGTATTTGAGGGCTCTGGTCTAATTCCAAGCATCTTAGTACAGGCTGGTAACTAGTGACGACAATCACCCACACATGTCACAGACTCCAGGTTTCTATGAAGTGCTGTGAACCTACCTGACTAGAACCACCAGGGTACATCTGTTGTTTTGTTTTCAGAACTAGAAAATGGACTCAGCACCTTGGGCAGGGTAGACAAACGGTTTCTTACTAAGCCCTAGCCTGAGCCCTTGGCTTTCTGAGACAAGGTACGTCATGTATTAACAGTATGTAGCCAGTGTGTGTGTGAGAGAGAGAGAGACAGAGACAGAGAGAGAGAGAGAGAGAGAGAGAGAGCCAGTGTGTATGAGTGTAACTCTAGATCCTGACTCAGCCTCAATTCCAAATTCTCACTAAAATGTTGTAATTCTTAACTAATTAGTCACATCGAGATACCCAGATTTCTGCTCTGGTGTCTTGAGCTCTGTCACTTTCAGAGCCCTTTGCAGCAGCCCCATTCCCGCCTGCTGACAGTCTCTACATTCCTGTCACTTAGTGAAAAAGAGACACCACTGTCATAGCCCAGCATGAAATCAACCACAAGCAGACTAAGAGGGGCTTCAACCTAGTAACCTAATTGTCACATAAATAATATCTTATAATTTTAGTACATATTCCTTGTGAAATGACCTCTAGCCCCAAAGCATATTCTCTCTCACTCTCTCTCTAGCTATACTGAGTGAGACTGCAGACAACTGAGATGATAGGCAGAATATAACCATAACGTCATACAGATATATGCATGCATTATCAAAACTTTTTATTATTTTTTTAAATATTTCTTATAGTTTATTTAACTTTATTTTATGTGCATTGGTGTGAAGGTGTCAGATCCCCTGGAACTGGATCTTCAGACAGTTGTGAGCTGCCATGTGGGTGCTGGGAATTGAACCCGGGTCCTCTGGAAGACCGCTGAGCCTTCTCTCCAGCCCTATCAAAACTTTTCAAATAGAATACTAAGCTTAAGCAATTACTTATAAATTATTCTTAGGCCTCCTTTAATGTTTTAAAGCAAGGTCAAGAGAAAAGCTGTAACAAGGCGAGTAACTAAGGAAGGGATGTGAAGAATCAGCCATTGGGGAGAGAGCTGGGCGTGACGATGACACCACCTAAAATCCCAGCACTCAGGAGGTTGAGGCAGGAGGACTCAAAAAGAAAAGAAAAATGTAAAATTTGGAGACTTCAAGTCAGCCTATTAATTTTAGTTTCAAGAGATTAACAACTGATTAACTGATCTGGACACCACACATCTTATTCAATGGTCCTGCTGCCCAGAGGGCATTGCTGAGAATTCTGTCAGGGTTTGTCTGCCAACACTTTTTCCCAACAACATCTGACTGTGAGTCAGGTCTCTCAAAGGCGGCAGAGGAGGAGGGAGAGACATGCCCTGTGTGCCCATTAATTTTAATTGTCAACTTGATACAAAGTAGCATCTCTTGGAAATGAGAGAGATTCAGGAGGGATCACACATATCAGGCTGTCTGTGGGGGACTGTCTCAGCTGCCTTAATGGATGTGGGAAAACAAAACCTCAAAGTGGGCAGCGCCACTCCTGGGCTTTGGGACTGAGCTGTTGTTAAAGCACGGAAGCCACGCTGAGCAGAATGCACACGTGCGTTCTTTCTCTGCTCTAGATGGTGGATGCGATGGGACTTCCCCGCTATGATGGACTATAACTTAAGCTAAATAACCCCTTTCTTTCCTAAACTGCTTTCTGTCAGAGTATATCCCAGCAACAGAAAGGAAAACCAAAACACCTAGCTACTGAAGTAAAGTACAATATCAGCTGAAGAACTGAGAACACACTTGTCAAAATACATAGTTAAAGAAATTAACATATTAAAGAGTTCAAACATTCACACTCAAAAAAAATCATGCTTTCAAGAACTACAAGTGAAAAATGCAGATCAAAAAATTGCGAGTCACATAAACAGAAATGTAAGGGGCAGTACACAATGTCCCAGCTGGTACCTTTATGGAAATGGGTCACCATAAGAAGTCAAGGGCTTAAGAGCTGTGATTATTATTGCCCATTTAAGTACCACAGTCAAAGTTCTGATTTTATATGCTTACTTTAAAATACACATTAAGCAAAACATACTAAAAAAATCTATTATAACTGAAGTCAAAGAAAGGAAAGAAATACTGATGTTCACAGACCTTCAGAAAGCATATATGGGCTAACAATTGTAACCATATACACAGAGGACTTACCAAAGGTTTAAAGTAAGTTTCTCTGAGAGACTTAAATAAATGTTTAGATAATTGTGTTAAACAATATACCACTCAAAGTAAGGTGTGTTTCCGTGTGTGTGCACGTGCACACACGTGAACTTCCCTAGGGAAGTTCTGCCCATCTCTGAGAAAATCTGCAGCATTCAGTGAGAGTAATGTATGTAAAGACTGGCCCTCCTGCAGATACTACGAGGGAACCATCACACCACCGTTCTCCCCATACCTCCTAAAGGGACATCTTGGAGCAGAGTCTTATCCTTCCTCCACTCAGAGACAACATCCAAGAGAGCATTAAAATGAAAATCCATGCGCTTGTCAATAGTGGGGTCAGTTATCCGTCCACCTTCCTGAATTAAGTCACATCTTTCTCCCAACTTATGCATGCTGATGCCAAGCTTCAAAATAACAAGAAGAACAGGGTGAAAGTCTTTCCTGGAAAAAAATACCTACAAGTTCTAAACTGACGTTAGGCAGCGCTCTCATGAAAAGAGTCTAAGAACTCAACAGCAGCTGTGTGCTCGCTGGGGGACAGCCAAGTGAGGAAGCAGAAATAGAATGAAGTCAGGAACACCCCACTTTATGGGACACGAGGGTGACAACAGCAGCTTCCAGGCAGCGCACTCTAAAATCTCAGCTCATGTTTCAGGGGCTGTAGGCTGCCTGTCCTCACTAAACATTCTGTCACTACTTCAGATCTTCATGCAAATGATCATACACACTCAGAGAGGCCGAAACCTCTCAGGGGAAACAATCACCTCAGACCTAGCAGGTCGGCAAGATAACAGACAGGGTGTTAGAAGACACTTTTAGAGAAATACTGTACTTTGTAAGTATTAACTGTGCCCCAAACGTTGCATGTAAACTATCTCATATAATATTTGGGGCATACTTACACTAAAAAATTTACTTGTTTGAAAGACAAACCTACCTAAGAATCCTACATTTTCACCTGATACACCTGGCGACCCTGGGCTTGCTTATGAACCAACTAAGTGGCCTGAAAATGATCCAGAAATAAAAAATAAAGATCTTGGGGAAAGTCTTTTAAATGCTAATCGGAAAGGCATCTATGTGACCATTATTACATATTTTGCAGAGGGTATGAAGGAAATTATGTATGTTGTCTACTCTGGAAGCATATTAATATACTTTAGCGCACCCCAGCATTGAGGATGGAACTCAGGGCCTCACACAGGCTAGGCAGGTGCTTTACCACAGGGCCGTACCCTCAGCTCCATATTAATGCTCTATGCAAACAGAGACAAGTTTTCTTTTCTTTGCCTGCAAGTCTTCAGGACACTCACTTGCTCACACATTAGTGCTACTGGGTTATTAATACAGCCATTGACAATCTGAGGTCCTCTTCCCACTACGACACCTTTAAAAGACTTGTCATCCCAAACTCGGCCTCCAATTCGACCTTTGGCTTCCAGGACAGTCACCTAGAAAGATAGTTGGGAATCGAAACAGAACAGTCACATCAGATGCAGAATTACAAAAACGTAGAGTGACAGTGTTCAACAACTCCATGCTCAGACTCACGCTCCACACAAACAACTGCAATGAGTGTGACGAGAACCAGGGACACATTGAGACCAGCCTAGCTTCAGCGGTAGTGGTGGGTGCTCTTACACCACTTCTCTCAAATCAGGTAAGGATCAGTGACAGAGCACTCTGGGGTTTGAGGCAGGACGACTGCCATGAATTTGAGGCCACCAGCACTGGCTACAGAGTGAGACTCTATCACAAATGCATCATAAAACAAGAGAAAGATCTGAGTAAATCCATCACTGAATTTTAAACAGCATTCTACAAGTTTTTTTTTTTTTCTTAATGTATGTGTTTTGTGGAAATACACACGTCTGTACCACATTCCATGCAGTGCCTTTAGAGGTCAGAAGAGGGCATCAGATCCCCTTGTAACTGGAGTTACAGTCTGTTGGGAGCCACGATGTCAGCGCTAGGAATCAAACCCAGGTGTTCTGGAAGAGCAGCCAGTGCTCTTTAACCACTGATTCAACTCTCCAGTCCCTGCATGAGTTTGTTTTTCCAATTTTAATTTGTGTGGCAGTGGGTATATTTATATGTGTATAGAGGTGTGCTTGACCGTGTATTTTGCGACAGGCTACCTCTCACTGAACCTGGAGCTTCACCTTGACCTAGGCTGGCTGGATAGCAGTCTCTTAGACGCACTTGTCTCTACTCTCCCAGTCTGCTGGGGTAACAGACACACGCTGCCACGTCTAGCCTTTCTGGGAAAGCAGGGAACCTGAACTCAAGGCTTCATGCTTTCACAGTACACAATTTGCAGAGCCATCTCTCAAGACCCTAGAAATCACATTAAAATCTAGTCTAAGTCATGAATGTAAACCCAGCATTAGGAGGTTGAGGCAGAATGCTCAAGTATAAGGCCATTTTGGATTACTGGGGAATTCCGCATCTCAAACAAAGCAAACAAGAACTATGTTCAAGAGCTGAATTTTCCACCAAATACCCGTTCTTCAGTGTTGCTAGGACGTTTTCAACTACGGAAGTTTGACTTGAACAGAGCTGGTTCAATCTAGCAAGTCCACACCGATCTCCAAGTGTCTAATGCCAGTGAGATGCAAAACTGCTCTCTGGCAGCAAGCAAGGTTTCTGCATGACCCCAGAATTCCAAGTGCCCTTGCCCTGGGGGTTGCAGTAGGTTGCAACTTGAGTGCTCCTTGCTGCAATATCAGTCATACCTCCGGACCCTCGGAAGTCCTACTCTGAATTGCTCTCTCCAGCTAAGCGCTGCCCAGGCTACCCAGAACACTCTGCTGTCTAACCTTAAGGGGATGGATGGTCTCCAAGGCTATCACAATCACTTGAGAGAGTAATGAGACCTCTGAGACCTCCCCCCGCCAACGTAACTAGGAGGGCTACAGCTGTGGTTCTACCTTCCTACCCTCCTTCTCTAATTTCTTTTCATTCCTATCTCTTTTTAGTATACAAGGGCTGAACATTAAAGGCGGTCTCCCAGACTTTGGATAGTAACAGCTTTACCTATAATATAATCTAGGTTTTCTAAGTAAAAAGCAAACAAGAGACACTGAGCCTGATATCAACTACTGAAATAACACACTCACTTTCTACAGCTCACAGAAGAGGTTTCCTACCACAAACACTTCCTCTAACCCAACTGACTTTCCTGTTTTGCTAGTATGACGCAGTCCACAATTTGAATCCTCTATCTACCCAGGAGAAAAAAATCTTTTAGGCACAGTTATTAAATACTTCTGACAATCTGAAATGTGACTTTTGAACACCTTGCCAAAAATTTAAACTCTCTGGGCCAGACATGGAAAAGTGAAAGGTCTGAATCTTAAATTATACTTAACTTGCCTGGTGATGGTGGTGTACACCTTTAATCCCAGTACTTGGGAAGCAGAGGCAGGTGGATTCAAGGCCAGCTTGGTCTACAGAGAGTTCCAGGATAGTTAAGGCTACACAGAGAAATCCTATCTCAAAACAACAACAACAACAAAAATTATATTTAACTTTACCTTCAATGAAAATCAAAGTCTTTGAAAAGTTTTAAGAAGAATGTACCCAATTTAGAAAATCAGAGAAAGCTAGGGGAAGGTTCCCAATTTGATAAAAATTAGATACCAGATTCTTAGAGAGTCTCACTATGTAGTGCTGACTGGCCTAGAACGAGGATAGCCTCCAAGTCAGATCTGCCTGCCTCTGTCTCCTTAGTGCTGGGATGAAGGCGTGCACTTCTGGGTCCAGCTGAACCATACCACCCCACCCCCTAGCAGCCTCTATCTTGGCTAGCTGTGAGCTGGAGTAAGGCATTTGTCAGCAACTGGCACATTGTTCTGCCCTCCCAAGGTGCTAAGGAGTCAGAATTCCAGCTCAGCCATGTGATCATTCATTCCATTCTGCTTTCGAAAGCCAGGGCTTATGTTTTCCTGAATAAGATCCCAAGGATGACTGGTTTGCATAAAGAAATCCAAGGGCTAGAGCAAAGTGCTTGCCTAGCATAACACAAGCCCTGGGTTTCATCCTCAGTACTGGGGCAGGGTAGCTAACTGGGTATTTGAAAACTTTTCCGACAGACAGTGAATTTCTGTGCTTCCATCTGTTGCCCCAAACTATCCTATCACCTCCACTGGTTAATAATAACCTGCCAAGATCTTCTGTGGATTCCAGGCTAGACTATCTGAGTTCCTTCCTACAGTCTAGTACTCTCCAGGTTCTACCTGCTCTGACTGACTCATTCCAATCCAAAGCTTCTCTAGGACCTGCTGTAAAAAATGTGTTCTTTACGCCATCACTCGAGAGGCAGACATGTGACCCCAGTTCTAGGTGAGCTTCTCTCAAAAAAAAAAAAAAAAAGTGTGCATCATTCTTCACTAGATTTACAAACTGGCCTATAAGTCTTACAAAATTTGGAGCGAAGGAGCAGCGAACCACCTGTCCCCACCCCCAATTCCCCAGTGTCTCACCTTCATACCAAAGTTATGTAGTTGCCTAGCAGCTGCTAAGCCTGCTGGACCAGCCCCAACAACCAGAACCGATTTCTTCAAAAAAAGAAAAACAAAAAACAAAACACAAAGAAACTCTAGTTAGAACAGTGGTGACAAAGGTTGCTACAGTTGCTCTGGCAGGTTCCAGCTGCCAGGCAGGGTTAGTCTGTATTTCCCTGGTGTTACTAGGCTCTGTTTTCCTAGAGTACAGGATGGCACCTGTCTTAAGTAACCTCTTTTTCCCTACACCCTGGAGAAACTGTGCTTCTAGCCTCCTCCTGGGAAAAGGTCTTCACAAGTCTTCCTTTTGGTTTCTGTGGCTTCTGTTATATATTATAGCTTACCACGACCAAAGGCAGAGTTGCTGCAGCCAGTTGCTTACATTGTGGTAGTGTTTAGGGAGAAGATGCTGGCCGGCTCCCACGGTGAGAACTCCTGTGTTGATGAGGCCTTTCCTCGTCATGAAGTAAAGAATCCTCTCTACTTCCTGGACGCATCGAATGCGCACAAGGCCCCGGACGATGATGTGGGGAATGCACTTCTGAGGAGTGAGAGCTTCCTGTGTTTACAAGGAAAGCAAAAATAACAGTAAGAAAGTCACCCAATTTAAAAACAAACAAAATATAATATACAAAAACTAGGGCTAAAAGTTTATTTTTACATTTTGTTGTTGAGAGAGGTTCTCACTTTGCAGCTCTAGCTGTCCTGGAGCTCAAAGAGCTCTGCTGGCCTCTGCCTCCCGAGCACTGGGAGGAAGGTGTGGATGGATCACCACGGCCTCTGCCTCCCGAGCACTGGGAGGAAGGTGTGGATGGATCACCACGGCCTCTGCCTCCTGAGTACTGGGAGGAAGGTGTGGATGGATCACCATGGCTGGCTAGTCTGCTCTCCTACTAGCATTCACACTTCCCTGCTTCCAGGTCTCCTTCAGTCTTTCAAGCGGATGCTATCTTGACACCCCAAATATTTATGCAGTCCTACAGAGTTAAAATCACTGGTCTCGCTTGGCTAGGGACAGAGTTGAACAAAAACCCTTACACAAGGGCTTATAATCCCCTTTTTGATTGCTTTTTGCCTTCCTGGCAACACCCCATATGGCTCTTTGAACCAAGTCTGCACCTTCTCATGCACTGTACAATTCTGACTCCATAAGGTCCAAAGCTGTTCTTAACAGGGCTGACCTTCTCTCTACTTGAAGATGCCTAGACTCAGACAGATGAGATCTCTAATTAGAAAACATGAAATCTGAAATATTACAAATCCTGACTGCCAACAGAACACTTAAGTTTCAGATTTCAGAGCACAGGAAGGCTTTTGGGATTAGGATGCACACCTGGAGAAGTCTATTCAAATATTCTATCTTTTTTTTTTTTTTTTTTGAAATTCCAAAAGCTGGAGACACTTCTGGTCCCAAGTATTTCAGATAAGAAGTTGTTAAAATGTATTCAGTTGTCAACATGGAAGTGGTACTATAGTCTCCAGAGCAGAGGCCAGGGGTATAGCAAATATACCACTGTGTATATAGAACAGCCTCCCTGTACCCTTGAGTCATGTGCCCCAGAGGGCAACAGTGTCACTGTGGAAAGCCCTTGGCCTCCAGGCTCTACCCACGTCAAGCACTCCTCTCCTTCACTGCCGTCCTCTACCCCGTGCCACTGTCTGGCATGGCCTCACTTACTTTGCAGTTTGTGTACCACAGAGCGAGGATGAGGTTTCTCAAAGCCAGGTACATGGTGGGGTCTCGAGAATACTCTGGGAACTCATAGAGCTCATCCAGCTCCATCACGTCGGGCCTCACACACAGAGCTTTGCCACACTCATTGGGCTGGTAGAATGGCTGGAAGTAGCGATTCATGCCTAGAACTGACAGGAGACGAAGCAGCAGCTTCTGTAAGACCTTAGAGAAGTACATCACATGGCACACACACAAAGGGGCTGGTAATATCGCTCAGTGAGTAAAGATTTCTGTCACCAAGCCTGACAACCTTGGTTGGCTCCAGCTCCATATGGAATGAGAGAGCTGACATTACTGAAGCTGTCCCCTGACCGCCCATATGTGCTGTGGCACACACATAAATGTAATTTTTAGAATTAAAAAGAAACAAAAAGTTCATTCTTTGGCACTTACTGACTACAAAGTGGAACCCCTAAGCCCTGATTATATCCCATGCTAGGCTATATTCCAGGACCCAAAGTGTCCTATCATTAACATACCAGATGCTAGTTTTTACAAAGCTGGGCAAATGAAGGTGTTGTTGTCAAACCTACTTCTAAACAGTTTCCCATGTCATTAAATAACTACAGAGGCTCTGTGTCTCAGTCAACCATCCCCTCTCCTCGGCACTTAGATCACACCTCTCACACTCAGTTCTAAGCAGCAACCAAAGCACTTTTCTTTGCACATGCAGTTCTGAGTTGATGGACTTTAGGACGGCATCTTAGAAATGCTTGCTAGTTCACAGTCCATGGGAAGGCCTTTGCTACACACTGCCAAACTGTCTTCACAAATGTGCACTCTTTAGTACTTGAATGCCCAATGCAGTGCACCATGTCCCACAGCAGTCTCAGTGTGGAGCTCCCCACATCTTCACTGTTAGGGGCCGTCCAGTATTGGGCCTTGAAAGGGAAAAAAAAAATCTAGTTTCATAATCAAAAATGTGTTTTGTTCATGTACAGATGTGTGTAACATGAAGGCCAGGCTCGTAAGGGGCCTGCTTGTTGGGGTTTATGTCCTGCCCGGAATTCCTTTGAAGCCACTAACGTTCTGCCTGACACGAAATTCTGAATCTTTCAGAGTGGATCTCTATTGGTGTTAATAGAGACAGAAAGATGAAGGAGAAAAAAAAATACTAAAAATCAGTGCTCACACAGCCTAAAACTTCCTTCTGATAAGGCAGAGTCTGTGAAATCAGTAAATGGCACAGCTGTCCAACTTTGCAACAGACACTCATCAAATTCTATAAATAGTAACAGGAGTTTTAGGTTTTACAAAGTAAGGTATACATTGTATACAATGGTACAATAGATCCAGTGCTGCCTCCTTCAGCATCCTCAAGGAATTAGTTCTAGGAACCCCTATCCACACAAGTCTAACAAAGGCACACATGGTCAAGTCCCTTATTTAGATGGTGCAGTATTTGCATAGGCCCATCTCTAGATGACTTTTAACACCTTATACAATGTAAATGCTATGGAAACAGCTGCTAATGATCAGAAACTCTCTCTTCTGACCTCCACGGTCATGATCTCTCTCTCTCTCTCTCTCTCTCTCTCTCTCTCTCTCTCACACACACACACACACACACACACACACACGATAAAATCTGTAATACGGAAGCTGTATATACTGAATATAGACAGAACCATTTCCCGAGTAGCTTTCCACCCCGATTGGCTCAATCTGTGATGCACAGTCAAACGCATGCAACAGTGAGTGCTTTGTAGCATGTCACATTAGAGTCTTCTGCAGTCTGCTTACCCTTAAATTTCCAAGGAGGGGAAGGGGATGTGAGGAAGGGGAAACCAGAACATCTCTCACCAAGTGGAGAGGGGGCTGCCTTGGAGGGCTCCATCTTCCCTGGGCTGGCACTGCTGGTGGTGGTGGCCGCGGCACGGTTTGTGCTGGTGCAGGAGGGGCTCATGCCAACACAGTCAGGGTAGTAGGCAGAGAGCAGCGGTGCAGCCACGCTGTCTTTTAGCAAAGGAGGCTGGATAAGCATGGAGTACCACCAGTGGTTGGAAACTTCCAGCACTCTCTGTGATGTACCAGGGAGAGAGAAAGGGGAAATGCACATGCTGATGGTAGATACTCGCTATCCACAGTCCTCCTGTTCCACCCACATCCAGACTCAACAAGTCTCAGAGTTTCATACAGAGATCAAACAAAACCAGCTAGCACACCAGAGACAGTCCTTCTTAACTGAACCTCCACTAACACTAAAACAGAACAACTCCTGCAAAGAAGAGAATGGATTCAAAGTGGATCTAACACATGCCTCTTCTCCGTTTGTCTGAAAATCTCCTGTGGGCCTAGAACTTGAGATACTGAGAACAAGCTCAAACTACCAGTCCCAAATCATGGAAAATCAGGACTTGAGAATTTAGCAATTTAGAATATTTGAAATCATTTTAAACCAAATATGGTTACATGGCAAGTGGAATTTGCCAACTAAAGAGAAAAATTTGCCAGAAACAGCTGGATTGTGCCAGGGCTAGACCCAATTCTGTATGTGAGCAGGGTCAGGGCAGAGTGGCTACCCTGTGGTCAGAAAGCACCAAAGTCCTCCCCACTGCAAGGTCCAGGCCAAGACAACCAAACCATGGCCATCCTGCTCTTCGTCTTGGAAGGACTCTATGGCATCCTCAACAAACAAGATTATGAAGGCAGATCTCTGCAGCAAGGCAGAAGCATCTTCCTTGTTCCCTTGAGCGTGAAACAATATAACTTTAAATTCTTCTAACTATTGTAGCATTGTCACAATGCAGTCACGTTAGAGTCAAAAGGCTTTGACGTACATCCACACAGTGTTAGTCATTTACTTAGTGAATTTATTAAAGATCCAGAACACGAAGAAAACTACTCACTAGATCCTCAGGCAGAGAACAATGATCAGGGGTGTCAGTCTGCAAAGGAAAACCAACTCTGATTAAGTGTTTCCGTAACATACAGTCCTAGGTGTTCATTTCCTTTCAACATCGCAAAGAAAAATGTTTGGCATGTCACTAGAATGAGAGTGTGGGAAGATGTGTGCTTTTGTCAAGATGTTCCCCATGAAAACAAAGGACTGTGCCTGTGACAGAGAGGGCTCTGACGAGATACACACATCTGGAATACACAGAGGCCTGGCATTATTATCTAACGGAACTAAAGTTGTGTTATCAGATAAGACATACCTGTCAATTTCCCCTTGGTGTATTTCCTAGAGACCCTTGTAACTTGTGCACCAAACAATGTACTACAAGAAAGACTAAAGGCTGGGGATACAGCTCCTAGTGTGTTTGTCTAGCAGGCAAGAAGTTCCGTCCCCAGCAGCACTCTACCAAAAAGAGCTCAAAAAAAAAAAAAAAGTTCAAGCCAGGCACACCACTATAATCTCAGCACTTCAAAGGATGAGGCAGAAGGATGGACAGTTCAAGTCTGCAGTATACAATGAGTTCAAAGCTAGCCTGGATGATTCACAGACTCCAAACCCAGCTTGAGCTACATAGCAAAACTCAAAGGATTGAAAAAGCAGATAAAACAAAATTCAATGTATATATTTCTGAAATTCAAGTAAATTTTCTTTGTGACAGAAGAAAGCTAAATACAAACCTCAGTCTGTCGGCAACAGAAGAGGTAAACTGAGTACACTGTCATGTCACACAGCAGTGGAAGGACAAACGGCAGCTACATGCCCACCACAGACTGGGCTGCACCAGCAGTTCTGAAACAGCACACTGCATGATTCCATTTATGTGAGGTTCAAAACCAAGCAAAGCCAAATCCACAATACTGTAAGCTAGAGAAGTAAGCAGACAATTTACTCTGGGGGAGCAAGGTTGGACACTTACTGACAGAGACACCAGGCACCTGCCGTGTATTCCATTTCTGTATTGGGAGCCAGATAAGCAGGTACTTGTGAAAATTCACTGCATGGGGCATTTTGATTTGTGCAACTTCTGTTTCAACAAAAAACACTGCCTAGCTGAAGGTCTGGAGAGCACATTGCCTAGCAGTTCTAATCTCCGGGACACAGTCCAAAGAAACTCTCACATTAATAGAGACTTGAGCAAGCACAACAACACTCCAGAAAACACAGCAGAGACAGACAACATCTGGAAACAAACGTTGCTCTCCTTGAACAGGGAAGCAGACGCTGTGCAGTAGGTGCACAGCATTCCGACAGTACTCAGTAAGACTGCAGCAGAGCTGTAGAATCAAACAGCTCAGTGTTGAGAAGAGCAGAGGAAGAAAAACGTGCTGTGCCACACACAAACTGTTCTCACCGGCTGAAACACACCCTAGGTGCCTCCCTAGACGCTGTTCCCAATAGTGCAGCAAACAATCTGAGGGGGACTTGCCACCTTCTTTCCTAGGCCCTAGTACTTTTTTTCCTCTTCTACCATCCAGAGGCCTACCTGGAAGGTGAAACTAAGAATCAACTATGGTCTTCAAAACCACTAAGTCAATTATAAGTGTTCTCATAAAATATGTGTATGTACAGTATTGCACACTAACCCAAATTAACCATTCCAAAATGGATACACATTCCAGGACATGGATGTAAATATACTTAAGTTGTTAATTAAAATTAATCAATCTGGGCTACACAGTGAAAGCCTGCTCAGAACAGAAACAAACAGTTGAAAACTCTTGGCAGGTGTTAAGGGGCATCCCGTAATCCCAGGACTCAGAAGGGTGAGGCATCAGGACCCCGCAGTTTAAAAGCTCTTTCAAAATTGCCATTATTCTGCCTTGTGTAAGACTAAGAAAATGGAAAGGTAAATATAGACTTGGAAAATACTCAAATGTATGTGTATCTGGATTATATAAATCAGTCAGGAAGACTATTCAATACCCCAACAACGGAACGAGCACAAGCACACAGAGAAACACCAAAGAGACGCCACCGTTCGTCCGAGCACAGCCGCCAGCTAGTAGCTCCTTCACTAATTCTGCCACGTGATGAGTCTCCTACCGACTCGCCCACACAAATGGAGCACAAGACACTCGCACAGAATCACTACTGCTTTCACTCACACGGCTAACATTTACAACACAGATGTCCCTCCACATGCCAGTGTGGAAACAAACTGGCATGCACCTAGACGATGCAACACGACTGAGAAGTCTAAACAGAATACTGAACAGGCCGGGCTTGCACAACACCAAGGCAGGAGGACAGCATCCTGATGGTCTGCTTGGAATGTACAGAGTGACCTCAAGGTTAGTCTGGGCAACTTAGGGAGACCCTACCTCGAAGAAAGGCAAAAACAGGGCTAATTATACAGTTTGGTGGTTTAGTGCTTGCCTAGCACCTATGAGCCCTTGGTTCAGTGGTCAGCACTGTAAGCAGCACAGTCAGAACAGAAGGCCCTACTGCTCACTACCCATGTGGTCAACGATCAGCTTGTTTTATTTTGTTGTTTTTATTATTTATGTGCATTGGTGTTTTGTCATGGGTGTTGGGTCCCCTGAAACTGGAGTTATAGACAGGTGTGAGCTGCCATGTGGGTGCTGGGAATTGAACCCAGGTCCTCTGGAAGAACAGTCAGTGCTCTTAACTATTGAACCATCCCTCCTGTCCCTTTCATTTTGTTTTAAAAGTATTTTATATAATGAAAGATACCAAACACTGAAAGGGCATACATTGGATGATTCCAGTTTTGTGAAGTTTGAAACAAAAATAAATCTACGGGACTAGAATTAGAGCTGACTCTGGACATGGGAAGTTTCCAGGATGAAGGAAATACTGCCTCTTAGACTGGCATTCTGGCTGTGCACTGAAGACATTTCTTAAAACTCAACAAGACCCCATGTTCCATGAATAAAACTATAGTAGAAAATCGTCTCTCAGAAATGAAAATGAGATGCACATTTTCATATATTAAAAATAGCTCCAATATGCTTAGGGGTTGGGGTTGAGCTCCAGAGTAGAGCATTTGCAAAGTTACAGGTTCAATTCCCCACACCTCAAAACCCAAAAGTACTACCATTCAATGTGGGCAGTTTTTAGACCATCGCTCTTGTCTCAGACTTGTTCTTTCCTTTCCCTCCTCAAGACACAGCCAGTGATTCACACAGCCAGGTTGGCCTCCAACTTGTTATGTAGGGAAGACCTGGTTCTCCTGCCTCCATCTCCCAGGGGCTGGGATTATAGGCAGTAGACACCACGCCTCACTGAGCCTACTTTTTCCCTTCCAAAATCTTAAAAAAGCAGTTTGGATGCACTTATGTAAAGCCTTAAAAATGAGCCTCTTTCAAATCCATGTTTAAAGTTGTATTGGAGAGATGAATGAATCATTAGGATGACCCACCCCCACCTCTTCAGCTAAAGTTGATTCTCAGGGCCCTATGTATGCTGGGCAAGCACTCTAACCACCGAGCCATATTGTTCAGTCCAAGAGTTTACTTCTAAAGACATAAACAAGATGGCTCAGAAGGAGTTTATTTGGATGCATATATATTCATAAACATTTACATGCAATATACTATATGCAAACATACAATCTGACCTGTGAATATTTGTATCTTTGTCACTTCACCTTGCAAAAGACTGCGAGGCAAGCGCTCACCACTGGCCTCTACCCACAGGTCTCAACACTGATTTTATACAGTAAGTATGGCCACTTTGATTTTACACACGGGAGGGAGGGGGTGTTTTTCCCTTTGCAGATCAAACCCAGGGCCACTCGAAGGCTAAGCAAATGCTGTGTCACTGAGCTACATCACGAACCCAATAATATTTGTAATTTGAACCCTAAGTTAAAAAAAAAAAAGCTTTGATCCTAAACCTCACAAAACTTTGCACGTATTGTTTAGAATGGAGGCATTTAAAGCACAGGTCCCTTTGCTGGCAATGGCTGTGTGACTATACCACAGACCCCCGAAAGCCCCGAAACCTCACAGTTCACAATCTGACAGGACCCTCCAGTTAGAAAAAACAAAAGAACAAAATACTATTTTGATTCTGGGATTTGATACCTAATACTCTTTAATACTTACAGTATGAGACATTTGAGAGGATCAGTACACCTAATGCATTTTAAAATACAAGCTGCCAAGTTTCAGGAGAGGCGCAGTCTATCAACTATGGCTAATCCCTAACTGCCAATTCTATCCTGCTCATCCTGCCTCCTTACTGACAAAGCTCCGCGTTGTCTGGCATTATAACACAGAGTGAAGCTTTTTCTTCCTTTGTCCTCATGCAGTCTAGCCAACGACACGAGGAAAACTCTAATAGGTAAGCTGTTACCCAATGGAGAGTGACAAATCCCAGCTAGCACACCATGCGTGCCCTTGGCACTTTCCCTCTCTTCTGCTTTGAACTCGGACACAGTGGACCACAACAACAACCACCTTGTCACTTGAGAATAGATCAAAGATGGACCAGACATGAGACAGCGTTCTTGGATAACTAAGCCAACCCTGAACAGCCCATTACCAAATTCCCTATAGTACAAGAAGAGTTAAATTAACTCATTGTTGTTGAACTTCTGCTTACATTCAGACCAACACAAGGATTAACACACAGAATGAAAAAGACAGGCTACAATTACAAATAGATTGGCACATATAAGGTCACCACAGAAATCATACCTTGGTGATAGTATTTAGCTTTATGCCACAGCGATAAGTTCTTGCCATGTGTGGAGTGAGCTGGATTTCCCTGGTAAGCTGCCTCCACTTTCCACACTCTGGTTTTGTGCACTGAACCTACAGGGGATGTTAAGGTGAGATCAATAAAGCGCCTGCTCTTAAACTACCACATGTACGCCCCACTCACTCTACTGCCGTCCCCACATGATCTGGCCCATGTTTTGACCCTAGGAACTGTATGGTGGGAAACTGTTCTAGTATTGAGTTATACCTCCAGACCCCTTATCTCGCATTTCTTTCCTATGACGTGATCAGGGTAATTTCTGATTCAATGCTAGCTCAGGCAACAAGATAATGATAAAAGTTTTGAAAACTTATCAGGAAGATTTTCCAGCTCAAGCCCAAGAAGATAATGAGTTAAACTTAGATACTATTACTCAAAAAGTTATGCCATGAAACGCAAATTGTGATGTCCTGGGTCAGGTTCTAGGTCACTGAAAGGATGAGAAATAGATAAAATTCAAATCAAGTCAGGCAATGCAGTTCTTCACACTGTACCCATGCTAACTTCTCAGTCTGACAAACAGACACGGTATGTATCTAACACACAGCTTTTAGTGGCATCTCTGTAAACTCCTTACATTATTCCAAAATAGAAAATTCTGCATATCCGAACATGAATGAATGAAGTCGTATCTGGCTTCCCACATACCCGGAAATTAAAATGGATTAATGATCTAGATGTGAAATCTGAAACAGTGAAATTCTATGAAAGCACAGAGATGGTCTTTATATCTCCTCAGATTTGGCAATGAGTTCCCAGCAGGGACCAAAGACATGAAGAAAATATAGATAAACTGAAATTTATCAGAACTAAATGATTCGTGCAAAGGAAAAATTATCTGATGAAAAAATACCTGCCAATCACAAAATTGATGAGGGTTTGTATCCACAATATGGAAGTAATTCTTACAAGAAAAAGCCTTGACAATGAGCAGAGCTGCACATTTGCAAATGGTCAGACAGCACCAGCATTGAGGAACTAAGCAAAACCACAATGAGTCACCTCGTCACCATCCAGACAGACAGCATTATAAAACACAAACAAGAGTGGATAAGGATGAAGGCAGGAAGATCACGAGTTCAAAGTCACCATTAACCACTTAGCAAGTGTGAGAATAGTTTACTCTACATGACACCCATCTCAAAAAAGGCAAAAATATTGAGATGTGGTGGCTCATGCCTTTAATTTCAGCACTCGGAAGGCAGAAGCAGGCATTCTCTGAGTGTGAGGAAAGTCTTCCTCTATATAGTGACTTTCAGGCCAGCCAAGGCTACATAGTGAGACACCTGTCTCCAACAACAAAAAGAAAAAAACCAAAAAGAACCAGGAATGGTATGACGAAATCTGACCACCATGCACTGCGGAGCACAATAGAGAAATAGGGAGCTAATGCTCAGCTTCTCAGGAGCATGGCAAGAGCCAGGCCTCTAGGGCAACTTAGCAAGCCCTGGCTCAAAACACAGAGGGGGAGTGGGAGTGTACATTAGTAGTGCAGTAGCAAGCTTGAGACCCTGGGTTCAAATGCCAAGACCACCAAAAACTAACCAACCATGAATGACCTATGGCCTATCCCTATGGATACATGTCTGAAGAACTGTAGAAAAGAAGCTAATTATGTGTAATCCTGTTCATACTAGCTGAAGGATGAAACCACCCAAGTGTCCATCAAAAGATGGGTGGATAAACATGAGGCAGTGTGTGACATTACTTTCTTCCTTAGACTATACTGAGTTAGCAAAGATTTCTGCACAGTTTTAAAGACTCTGCTTTAACAAGCCTAGAAATGACTGCGAGAAGACTTCCCACAATGCAGCATCATTGCTCCTCGGTGCGCTGGGGCAGCAGCATCCCTCCTTACCCAGTAGGGCAGCTGCTGGTCTGCCATGAATGCCTTGGGGCTGGGTTCTGTCTTGCCATTGCTGGTCCACACTCTTTTCCACGCCATGTATTTGTCATAGCCGTCTTTGTGGCTGGAAACCATACAGGGGGAAAAAAAAAAAAAATCAACCTACACGTTAAGTTGTAGTTTTCACACTCAATTTTGATCACATTTACATAAAAGACTTCACTATTCTTAGGCACACAGAGGGATGTTAACAATGGCACGCCTAAAGTAGGCTAGCAGAGGAGCATGCTCTGGGCAGTACAGAACTGTGACAAACAAGGGCAGAGATCTAAATGGGGGAAAACTTTCTCATGTTCAGGGTAAATCCTATAGCAACTGTAAAATTATATCAGGGGATGAAATAACATAATAAAACACTCAACTAAAATCAGAAGAAAAAGAGTGAGTACAGAAATCCACTAGCAAAAGCCAAAGCAAGGCCGAGTGGCACGAGACTGTAATCCCAGCTACTCAGTGGAGACACAAGCTCAAGGCCTGCTTAGGACGGCTGCCCAGTGCTTTGCCAGCTCCTCCCACAGTTCTGCACCCTATCCCTGTGCACTGTGACAGAACGGCAGAGCACCGGAGCTCTCTAGACCTTATACACACCTAACACATGTCATGGCAGACACATAAGCCTGCACACCCACCACCCGTTTTCTACTCTTAAGTTTCATGCGCACAGTGTATGTTGACTGCAATCCGTTTTTCATTTTCCTTCATCAGTCCCTAGACAGTTCTGCTTCTACGTTTATCTCTAATGTACCTATGTGATTTTGTTACCTATATAAAATCTAGGGACCAGAAATGAGAAAATGTGTATAATATCGAATAATTATTTTTAAGAATCTGCCTTAATTCAATCAATGTGAGTATCTCCAGTTACATTCATTTTCCTATAAATAACAAGACTTCACTATGTATGTATGTTTTCCCAGGCATTCACTCCTGTTTCTGGGTACCCAGCTTCAGTCACCGTACACAGTGCTCACAGCACTGACTTTCTGGTCACACTTCAGGTCACCACAGGCAAGGGATGACCCAGTAACTCAGTAAGCCCAGCAAGTTTAAGCTTTGTGACCATCGTCCCCGGGCCCTGTCACATCCCCTCGACCACAGAGTCATCAGTGAACAAACCTTCTGTAGTAGTGGTCAAAGCATTCATTACAGAAGTGTTCCCCACAGGAAAGGTGATACCATCGGGAGGTGTAGCCATTTTTGGCACATCTGAAAAGAGCAGAATCAGGCAGCGTTGGTAATGAAGACTAATTCTCACTCATGTTCATTTAACCAGCCCATTTTGCAGTATCTCCACTTCTAATAGCCAGGGGCTAGCAAGGGAAGTTAGAATAGGTTGAAAGGTCACACAGGCTGAGAGCCCCTGATCTGAAATGCTTGGGATCAAAACTGTTTTAAATCTCAGTTGTTCTATGGGTTTTAGAATATCTGCACCACACAATGTGGGGGGTGGGGGGAACAACATATATGGACATAAAGGTTACTGACACTCAAAAGTTTTGGAGTTCAATCATTTTGGATTTCAGACTGCAGGCAGGCACGCTTACCACCCTCAGGTACAGTGACAATACAAGGAAGACTCAGGCCAGCCAGATGTAACCTTCATGGCTGCCTGAGGCACTGGAAGTCCAACCCAGACTGGGAGCATGGCTGGGGCTTTCTGAGGCTGCATGTGTGTGATAAGGCTGTAATAACATCCGACTGACTGCACCCTCGACAGCAAGCAAGCTGTCCAGCAAAACGACTGGCCAGACCGCTGATGACACAGCACAAGAATGAGAAGTCATGCGGCCGTCGACATGGCCGACTCTGTGTGCAGACCCAAACGGGGTTTCATTTGTTCAGATTTTACTGAATCTTCAGCCATTACTGAAGATTTTCCTATGGAGTTAAAAAGAAGCCCTAACTGTGCCACAACAAACAAGAATAGTGAGTCTACATACAGCTGGCACTGTAGGCTTTTAGGGTTTTGTTTTTGTTTTCAGGCAGGGTCTCTTGCACCTTGTGCAGGCACACAGTTTGCTGTGTGGTTGAGGAAGACTTTGAATTAACTATTGGTTCTCCTGCCCCCATTTTCCCAGTGTTAGGATTACCAGGCATGTGCTGGCATGTCCACTTTCCAGAGCACTGGGATGGAACCCAGTTCCTGGTACAGGCTAGGCACGTATATGTACTACAACTGAGCTACCTCTCCCCAACTCTGCCGTTTTTGAGACCTGCATTAGGAAATGGAAAAAAGTAGGCGTGCTACATGAAGTAAACAAAAACATAACAAAATGCAAACACACGTGGGTTCCTACTGGAACCTTGAATCTGTCATGTCCTATGCTCTGACCCTCAAGCCCAAGGGCTGGCACAGCGACGGCTAAGTGCATTTGAGGACACTGGCACAGCTGATCTGGATGTGATTTCTCTCACTGGGCTAGATAGAGCCAGAGTGTCGAGGAAGCTGCGGTGTGTGGTGACTGTCTAAGCAGTCAGAATCAGCAGGTTACAGTTCCTGCATTTGTCTGTGGAGAGTAGCACGGAGCGTGCCGTTCCCACAAACACACGCTCACAGGCAGATGCACTGGCCAAGGGAGCCCTTCACACAGACCTTTCAGAAGCACTTGCAAAGCACACAGGGTACATGGCCGTACAGCCAGCCTTTTCACATTTCCTGTACTTCTTTTCCGACGAGCCATCTTCGTCCTCGTCTGTGGTCTCTGCTGCTTTCTTCTTTGCCTACAGGGAGAATCAACGGAGGTCAAGATTTCACAGGTAGAGAAAGGGTGACCACAGTCGAAGGTCCTTATGTTTGCAGCAATTAGGGACCAAACATACATGACAGGCAGACACTATCAACTGAGCTACATCCGCAGCTCCGGAAGTCCTAAATGTGAAGGTCAACAGCATCCTGGCAATAGGACAGGGTTGGCCAGTACAACGGCTTGTATAAATAACTTACTTATTACTAGAGGATCTAGTAATAAGTCCAGATAGGTAGGTCCAGAACTAACATTCACATGAGCTTTTCTTAAGGGAAAACCTGACAGCCAAGATAAACAAGTCATTCTTGGGGACTGAAGAGATGGCTCAGCAGTTAAGAGCACTTACTGCTCTTATAGAAAACCCAGGTTTGGTTCCCAGCACTCACACGGTGGCTTACAACTGTCTGTAGCTCCCCACCAGAAGACAGAATACCCTCTCTTGACTTCTGCAGACGCACGCATATGTATATACACATGCACGCAGGCAAAACATGCATACACATAAGATAAAAATAAATCCTTTAAAAACGTTATTTACAAACTAAGAATTCTTTTCCTTTTCTTAAAACAGTTAAATCTTTCAATACGGAGGATTTAAAAGCAAATCCACCATCACTCAAGCTACAACAAGCTCAGGTCCAAATCCCCTTGAATGGCATTCAAACCAGGCACGATCTGGCCTCAGAGTCCCATTCTGGAAGCAGCCATCCCCAGCTGTGATTCTCCCATCACCTGCCCCGCCCCCGCCCCCCACCCCCAGTGATCCACAGTCTCCTCATACTCCACTTCCTGCTGCACACTCCACACACTGCACCATGGGCTCCTCCACAGACAGCCAGGCAAGGACTAGGCCGTGTCAGTGCAGCTCCAACTCTCACTCCGCATCAGCCCATCCTTGAGGGCACAGCTGGAGTACCTGCCTCCCGGAGCTCCTCAAAGGCAGGCTATCTGAAGAAACCTCGAAAGCACCTCTCCTCTTTGACCTCCCTCGAGGTGTTGCCATTGTTTTTGGAAAATCTGGAGGGGGGGGGGAGAATAAACCATTAAATTATTAGCATGTGCTGATATTTCAAGTCATTGTCAAGAGGAGGCTGAGTATAAAACCCCCACTTCCAAGTTGTTTAACCTCCTGATGTCTGTCATGTATAAAAGGAGAACAAGCCAAGCATGCTGATGTGCACCTGTCAGCCTTGAACTTGCGAGGCAGAGGCAGGAGGACCAGAAATTCCAGGTCATCCTCTGCTACACAACAATCCAGGCCAGCCAGGGCTGCATGGGTTACCTTGTCAGTTTCTGCTATGGCCCCTCCACCTAACTGTCCTCTTAGGGTTTCCTCGATCTAGGTGTCTTAGTATAAGACTTACTTATTTCTCCTGAGTACAATTAAGAAATACTTAACTTGTATTTGGACAGGAATACTCCTACACAGAATACGAGAATCTGGATTAGATAAAAGCACTATTATGTTCTACTAGACAAATCTTAACAATTTTCCAACTAGTCTATTAACAGCAAGGCTAAACAAGCATTGAGAGCAAACATCTAGCTGGGTGTGGCCACTCCTGCCTGCAATTCCAGTGGAGAAGGAGAAGGTGGCAGAGGACTGGGAATTCACAGACAGTTTCAGCTGCACAGTGAGTTCAAGGCCAGTCTGGACGGGAAGCGCTGTCTCAAAACCAACAAAACCAAACATCTATGAATTAGGCATTGAAACCATGAAAGAGTATTAGAAAATATTCAATAAGAAAACGCTTAGAGTAAACAATGACCTAGAATCTGTAGTTATTCGGCCTTTCCTGCCATTGCTCACACACCCAAGGGAGAGACGAGGAGGAAGGAGGACATCTGCATGGTAAGTAACTGGGAGCAGCAAAGTGGCACCACAGAGGACAGGAACTGACGCCACGCCATGTTAATCTTGGAGAAAAGTCTGAAGACCTTGTATACTCAGTTTCCACTTGTAAGTTGCATTCATGTCCACAAGTCCAGTTCTCACAAATTATTAACAGCACACGGAAACTCTCACATCCACACTAAGAAATTACAACATCAATACTGTCGGTGGTTCAACTTTTCATTACTTTCTGCAAGCCAGCAGAATGCTAGCTACAAACACAGTAAGCCTACATATTCTAAGATACAGAAGACGACTTTTTAAAGAGGCATTTTTTCTTTATGTTTATGTACTGGGGTGGGGGTGGGGCACATACCACAGCACAAGAGTGAAGGTCAGAGGTCAACCTCTGGGAGGAACCAATTCTTTCCTTCTCCCATGTGTGTTCCAAGGATCAAACTCAGGTTATTAGGTTTGGCAGCAAAAGCCCTTTACCTGCTGA